AAATTATAATTCAAAATTAATTATTTTATTTCTTACGTCTTTTGGATTTTCACCATAATATTAATTAACGTTTGTATTTTTTATATTACGAAACTTAAACTTCAGGGTAGCCAATCAATTAATTGTTACACAAACAAAGCAATGGATTCTCTCTTTTATTTTAATCTGCTGTAATCCTGTAATGTCGTTTTTTAATGGCGTAATAACAAAAAGATTTATTTGATTAGTTACATTAATTAAAGTATTACGTTATTATAAGTAATTTAAAATATTAAACTTTACTTATTTGTAAAAATTTGACCAGCGCTTTGCTTAGCAAAACTTTCTGTACCTAATAGCTAAATTATTTCGATTTTTATAAACAATAATAACTATAAAAAAATCAAAATACCTATTAGATTTATTAAAAAATCGTTTGGCAAAATATATTTTCTCTAATTATTGTAAGTTCTTATTTACTTCACTGTTGAAAAAAACGCATTTATTTTTTTAGTTAGAAAGCCACATAATTATGATGTAAGAAGAACACAAATTGTTTGTTTAAAAAATAGTGTCGTTCTAAATATGTATAACAAAGACCTTTGTCATCTCCTATTTGAAAAAAATGTTCCATGATATCACAGATTGAATGGAAATATTAGAAATATGTTAAAAATACCTCAGAAATAAACAAAAGAATTAATGTTGATAATTGTTAAAAAATATTTTTTAATGAAATAATCGATAACAGAATTTTTCCAACTGTGGATGTAAATAAAGTTTGGGTGAAGCTCAATTTTATTTCTCGTATTAGATAAACTGTATTTTGTTATATAAATTATTCGCCTAGAACTCAGAAAATGAACATTACATTTATCATAATGTCGTTAGCGCTTATCTAAAAGTATGCTATTTACAAGGTATAACAATTACTAAATTTTTGTTATTTTTCTGTATGTAATGTTGTTCTAGGTTTTGAATTATTCACACTCAAACTAATTTGAAAACAAAGCAAATTGACAACGAATTATTTGTCTCGTTTTAAAAACTCGTGCGATTATTGCGATTACAATAGCCATTGTATTTATCAAATTGCGAAATCGGTACTTACAAAGTGGTACTTACTCAGATATTCAACTAACAGGAAGGTGAGAATTACTATCATCAATTAAGATTAAATTCAGCACATTCTTAAGTGCTTAAGCGACCTTAATAAAAAATTGGTCTGCAAGAAACAAATGAGAACAAATGAAAGAAAACTAGCGTTTAATTAATTTTTAGGTGCCTGGGAATCAATTCATGAAATACACGAGAAGTATACAAAATATTTTTTACCATTATTTGGAAGGGTTACCATTTTAAATATTTCACAAACTCGCATTCAGTGATGATGAGTGTTTAGTTTCTTAAGCAATATTTATATTTTATTTAGGGTTTAGGTTTAAATTCATTTAAATATTACACATGTAATATTGTAATCTTGATGAATATAGTCGTGGTATTAAATGATTTGTCATCAAAAAAAAAATATATATGTACTTAAATTTTCAATCTCTTTTATACAGGATGCGCCAGAACTCGCGCCCCAGAGAATAATGCCATGTAACATGGAAAAAATGTTAAAAAGATGCTATCTATAAAAATTTCGAAGTTATGAGAGTTTAAATTTTGCACTTTGACTCAATTTATTTCTGTTGGAAAAATAAATTTTACAAGTTTTTTTGCTACAGGCGATTAAAAGAGGAAACAAGAAAGCAGTTCCTAAATTGTAACTGTGTTTAATGTTATTTGTGGCTTTTATTGGCAAAATTTTTGTACCTACCTTTACAAAATAATTATAAAAAAACATACCTATACAAGATCATCAGTATTATTGAATATACATAAAAAAGGTCAAATGTCAAAATTTTTTGACAGATAGAATTTTTTAAACATTTTTTCCATGTTCCTGGTATCTTATCTGACATGGAATTTTTCTCAGGGGCGCGAGTTCTGAAACATCCTGTATCTAAAATACATTAAAACTATTGGTTCATTCAGAATAGACCGAGTGCAAACCACAATAATACCATATATATACCAACGCAGCTACTACAGTTTTTGTAGTATAGTATAGTACTCGTAAGAAGCATCAGTGATACAAAGTTATTAATTTATTAAAATAGATTATCTCACCAAAAATCAGTGTCAGGTAAATTTCTCAACAAAATTCCGCAAAATTGATTCACGGTCCGACATAATGAAATTTTTATCTCTGTTACCAGATTTTCTAGAGCCAGTTGCGATTAGAAAACAGATACAGACAGATGGCTAAATAAATTTTAAAGAATTTGTTAAAACCATGACTGAGAATCGAACAGAAAATCTTTCGTTGAAGTTCACTGTCGACAATTTTAACTCAACGTAAGTAAATTATCGCAAAATATTTTTTTATTATAAACGTTTTTTTTGTAATAGCACGAAACTCGCTGACAATGAATACAAAATACCAGTTGATAGTGTAGAAGAAAGAAATAATGAGAAAGTTTACAACCCATATGAACACCGAAATGTTCAACATCCCAACTCGTAATACTTTTCGTAATTTTCCGACTTGGTTTAATTCAGAAATTGTAGATTTTCCGGAGCTTTGATGCACATATGTAAGAGTTCTCTAGGAACAGGTATTTTGGCGATCCCGAGTGCTGTAGCAGCTGGTGGAATTGTTGTTGGTGTTGTTGGAACTGTGCTCACTGGAATTTTGTGTACTCACACGATTCATTTGCTGGTAAATACATTTAATTGTAGGAAAATACTTGTGATAATAATAATTTTTTCTTAGAAGAAATTGCTTACATTTTAGAGGACATTCTTATTTTTTACAAAAGATATAAATCAGAGTTGAAGCTGTTTGTCGTAGTTTATGATAAGGTACGATTTATTTTTGATAAAGAAAAATTTTAAACACGAGACAATTTTACGAAATCGCTAACAATCACTTATTAAACGGTAATCATGCAAAGCTTTTTGCTACCTACACAATTGCAGTTTAGAACAAATGCTTTATTGTTTAGTTTTTCTCAAAGAAACAATATCTTTCTTCATACGTTTTCAATAGCGTATGTACTTAAAAATAAATTGCAAAATGTATCGTTCACTTATCACCTCCTACTTACTTATAATTTTTTGTTGTTAGGTAATTATTATTTATCTATTACCTATATTTACATTTTTACAGCTACGAGTAAAACTATTGTTTTATTACTGCTGTTACTACAAATTAAGTTTTTTCATTGATATGCAGTATGTCCCCGGATTGAGTTTACAGCAAGAAAAAATTTTTTATCTTTGATTTTACGCCAAAATTGCAAAGGAAAAACATTTTTTGCTTTACTTGAAACGAGAGAATCTGTAATTAAAACTTCATTATTCTAACTCAGTAGAAAGAAAAGTTTATTTTTCGCTTGATTTTGGACTTGTATAAAAGTTTTCTCTGCTTTTTAAATTTCATCACATTGGCGGTTTATCTTTTTGACAACGATGTCACTTTGACAAATGAGTTTACGCAAGTTAAATAACAAAAATGTTTGTGAAAAGCATAATTTTAACACATGGCAACTCAAAGAAACAGCTTTAAGATAACAAAGTCATTTTTAACAAGAACTGTCATTATTAATTAATTAATTAATTGTCAAATAAATACAGGTTGTCCCACGAGTAATAATGAGCCTGAAAATTTTTTTAAAGCAATCAACATTACATTTCAAAGATAACGTGGATATTAAAATATTTAGTTTTAATAAATTAAACATAGTGACCAAACACTTCAACTTTATTTAATTTATAAAATGTCAAACCTTAGAGGATTTGGTGAGAATTACTAAAATGTTGCCGAAATGACCAACAAGATTCTCATTTATGAAGAATGTTTGAAAAAGACTTCGCAGACTGCACGTTTCAATCCAGCGTGATATCCAAATAGACGGACTTCCTAAAACCGGAGTAAAGTCATTTTGACTGATAGAAATTTGTCAAAAAAAAGTAATTAAAACGAAATATTTTAAACTCCACGTTATCTATGAAATGTAATGTTGGTTGCTTTAAAAAAAAATTCAGGCTTATTATTACTCGTGGGACATCCTGTAATAATGAAGGTGTCATTACAGATTTGCTCGTTTCAGGTGAAGCAAAAAATGTTTTTCCTTTGTAGTTTTGGCGTAAAATTATTTTTTTTCTCTCAATCTCAATCCGGGTACTTACTGTATATAAATTTAAAGATTTGCCGCCACAAAAAAATTCAGTGGAAATCAAAATTTGTCAAATTTAGGTACTCATAAACATACCATAGCTTACTGTTTTATTCATCACAGATTATTTTTACTTATACGTAGTAAAAAAGGTAAAAAAATCTGAGATTTTTTGGGAATTTGGATTAAGAAAGGCAGTGCTAAGAACATTGTAAAATTACAAGTAAACTGCAAAAAAGCGAATTAAATTTTTGTTTATAGTCCATTCTAGTTTAGAATAGAAAATATATGTTTTGCAAATTATTGGTGTCTTTTGTAAAGAGTTTGGTATAAAAAGTAAAAGCTTGTTTAAACCGAAACTATACAACTATTATATCAAAAAATAATTTTTAATTTTATCTTTTATTGTAAGTCATGAAGACGAATAAACCTTTGTTTCAGATATTTGCTTCTCAAGAAATATGCAAGAAAGCCAAAGTACCAATGTTAGGTTTTGCCGAAACAGCTCATGCTGTATTCAAATACGGACCCAATCGTGTCAAGTCTTTTGCATACATCGCTAAGTAAGTAACAAAGTAAGTAATAGATTTAGATTCAGGAGCTTGTGATGTATGAGAAACACTAAATTATTATTTATTTAAATATATAGGATGTCCGGAAATTGGCGCACCTCCTTCAAAGGGAGTAATTGGGTAGTTCCCCAGAGTACTGAAAAATGCATAAAAATTCTGTCAAAAAATTTTGACATATATTTTTTGACGTTTGACATATTTGTATGTCTATTTAATGATACTCATGATTTTGTATATGTTTTTTTTTAAATTATTTAGTAAAGATACAAAAATTTTGCCAATAAAAGCCACAAACAACACCAAACAAAGTTTCAGTTTAGAATACAGCCTTGTTTCCTCTTCTTATTAGAAGAGAGACTATTGTCTGTAGCAAGAAAACTTGGAAAACTATTTTTCAAACAAAAATAAAGAGAGTCAAAGTGCAAAATTTAAACTCTCATAACTTCCAAATTTTTAAAGATATATTTTTTTTAACATTTTTCCTGCTGTCTAGAGCATTACCCGATCAAACAGTGTCACGGAGGTGCGTAACTTTCCGGACACCTGTATAGTGGTAGATAAATTTCAAAAACTGAGTAAATTAGTATTTGTATTTTTACAGATATTTTGTAGACATTTGTCTCCTTTTGACTTACTGTTCAGGAAATGCAGTTTACGTAGTATTTATTACTGGAAATATTCAAGATGTAAGGTTAACAATTTCATAAATATTAATAAAATTTACACAAATTTTATAGGTTGTAAACTATTATCAAAACTCTGTCTCTGACTGGCCACTTCAGTATTACATGCTTATGCTCTTGGTGCCTTTAATAGTGTGTTGCCAAGTTAGACAATTGAAACATTTGGTACCATTTTCCATAATTGCAAATGTCACAATGGTTACAGCTTTTTTAATCACTCTCTATTACATGTTTTCGGGTATTGGTGATATCGACATTGAAGATCGCAAATTCTTCAATGATATTACCTTGTTTCCACGTTTCTTCAGTACTGTGATATTTGCCATGGAGGGAATTGGCACAATGTTACCAATTGAAAATACAATGATCAAACAACAATTTATTGGATGTCCTGGTGTTTTAAACATTGCAATGAGTTTTGTCGTCACTTTATACACTGTTATTGGTCTCTTCGGCTATCTTCGATTTGGTGACGGGGTCGACCCGAACGTCATCAAAAACCTACCAACCGAAGACATGTAAGTTTTTAATTTTTTACTTATATTATTTGGTAATATACTAAAATTTGTTCCAGTGCAGCACAAGTCGCCAAGTTGTGTGTAGCTACCGCTGTTTTTTTCACGTTTATGTTACAATTCTACGTTCCCTGTGAAATAACATGGAGAATAGTGTCACCAATAATTCCGAAAAACTACCACAACATTGCTCAAATTATTATGAGAACATTATTAGTGTTATTTATAACTGCAATAGGTGCAGCTGTTCCAAAACTGGACGCTATTATCGGACTAGTAGGATCAATATGTTTGTCAACTCTTGGACTTTTTATTCCAGTTGCTATTGACACTATTTTAAATTTGGGCGAAAATGGTGATTTTGGAGTCATGAAGTGGAGATTATGGAAAAATATTCTTATCGCAATCTTGTCGTGGTTTGCACTCTTTTCAGGTAGTTATTATGCTGTTAAAGACCTAATAAATGGTTAAAAGAACTAAAGCAAATGTGATCAAAGTTATTTTGTATTTTATGTTATTTACATATTGTACTAAAAAGCAACTAATAGGTAATTTATTATCACAACTTGTATTTTTGTATTTAAAGTAGGTACGTTATGCGTACATGATGTGATCTAAATGTATTTCTAAGAATGTTGTCTAAATATTTACAATAAATAAAAAAAAACTTTTGATTATTTTTTTACCCCCAAAAAAACTGTTTCGAATCTCTATACAGGCTGAGTCATATAATAATAAAAACTAAAAAAAATAAAGAATAAAAAAAAAATTCAATTTATAAATTGGTGCATCTTTGACGGTGCAGATTTAGCCACAGCAGTTTTGTGGCATTTTTCTTATATCAAAATCAGTTTATTTGTCGCCTTTAAGTACATTTAGAATTCAAGGAAAAAATGGAATTGATGACACTGTCAAATTTTATTAATGACATATCAACAACTACTTGATTTAAAATTAAAATATTTAAAATTTTTCAAACATAACGAAAGCCAAGTTCGGTTAGAGTTTTTATTATAAATGACTCACCCTGTATATCTCTACAAAATGGTATATTTAAAAAAAAACTAAGTAAAAAGTAAAAAAATCTGGAAGTAAGCAAATTCGGCTTTCATAAATTTTCAAAAAGTTAAATGCAATAAACTAACAAAATAACTAAAATATATCGGGTGTTCATTTAAATTTGGCGTCGGTGTTGGCGGTGATATGAGTGTGTTGTAAACGGACCATAATTAATACGATGGTTTGTTCACAATCGAACTTTCATAAATAGCTTTGACGCCAAATTAAAAAAAAAAACACCCGTTATTTTTATAAAAGTAATAATGAGTGCATGAAACCGGCGCATCCACCAAAACCAAAAGTTTTGTATTTTATAAACATACAAAAGATCGTGTAATACATACAATGTTGCAGTTATTACAATTTCAACAATATTTTTTTTTATTTTTGAAATGAAGGATTAAAAAGAAAATGTTAGTACACGCCAGATAAGAAACGCCTTGCTTCTTTAATCAGTTAATTAATTATTAAGTGATTATATCTTTTACATTTATTTACAAATAAATTACTATTATTGGTTGAAAAATTAAATGTAAATCAAAAAGTCACCATTATTCATAAATATTTCTTTTTTTTGTTTTCGTTGCACTGCATTTTATTTTGATATTTGACATAACTTTAACACGGTTTTGCTATAAAGTACAATTATCAAATTTAATTGCTCTGAAGTGTAAAGTTTAAATTTAGCCCAAATTGTTTTTTATTTTAATTTAATTTAAAAAATTAAGTCAAGTAACAAACTAAAAATTTTCTCTGTTTCAACAAAAATAGAAAAATCGTTGCAAAATAAATTCTGAATAAAATAAAAATTAACAGGTTTTAATAGATGCGTTTAACAAACTTCGTACCTATCAATGATAATAATTTTGATGACTGTTATTTATTATTGAAAAATTAGTTTCAGGAAGATTTCTTCTAATAATAAATTTGAATTATTAAAAACTTTTCTTAATACTTTTTATTACCATAAGAATTAAATACATAGGTATATTCAAAACAATCTGATAAGCCACAATAACACTCTTTTATCGCGATTTATCATGACAGGATTTCTGGGGCCAGTAGTGATTAAAATACTAAATCCAATAGGTGCACAAGCATTCACTCTTGAAATTTTATTTAAATTTGATGATTTAATTATAATTTTAATAAAACTATGAAAAAAAAGCTTTCGTCAACTTACACGGTCACCAATTTTAGTTCAACGTAAGTGGATTTTATTAATTATTTTTTTATTGGAAAAATATTTTTTTCAATAGAACGAAACTTGCCGATAATGTATCTCAAGTCCCAGTCGGTAGTATTGAAACAATCTGTGACAAAGTTTACAATCCCTATGAGCACAGAAATTTGCAACATCCCAACACGTAATATTTTTCGTAATTTCCGACTTGGKTTAATTCAGAWKTTGTAGATTTTCCGGAGCGTTGATGCACTTATTGAAGAGTTCTTTAGGTACAGGAATTCTAGCCATACCAAGTGCTGTGGCGGCTGCTGGAATTGTTGTTGGTGTTGTTGGAACTGTCCTAACCGGAATTTTGTGTACTCACACTATTCATTTACTGGTAAATACATTTAATTGTGGGAAAATACTTCAGGCAGCAATGAGATTACATTGATAACAATGTTTAAATAACTTTGAATTCATTTTTTTGCTAATATCTATTATTTCGCTTTAGAGAACACATTGCTTATGTCAAGGACGTTACCTATATCTAACCTCCTTGGCTTATGTTATTAGATTAAAACGGGGTGAATGCTCAAACATAATTTTGTAAACTAGCATAAGTTAAAACACAATTTTGGAATAATTTTTATCAATTAATGTATGTACCTGCTATTAACATTTTTTTATTAGGCAAATGCAAAGAAATATTTATTTCAGATTTACGCCTCACAAGAAATATGCAAGAAAGCCAAAGTACCAATGTTAGGATTTGGCGAAACAGCTCATGCTGTATTCAAACACGGCCCAAAAGGCGTCCAACCTTTTGCAAACTTCGCCAAGTACGTAAGTAATACATATTCAGATTCAGACAACTGTCATTACAACGTTAGATAATAATCTGTACAAAATATTTCATAAATTCGAAAAAAATATTAATTTTTATTTTTCAGAAATTTTGTAGACATTTCTCTCCTCTTGACCTACTGTGCAGGAAATGCAGTTTACGTAGTTTTTATTACTGGAAACATCCAAGACGTAAAATGCAAAATTTTATCAATTCAGTAAAACTTGTTTGATTTTTGTAGGTTGTGAACTACCACCAAGAATTTGTTGCTGATTGGCCACTACAATATTACATTCTTATGCTTTTGGTGCCTTTAGTAATATGTTGCCAAATCAGGCAATTGAAACAATTGGTACCATTTTCTATAATTGCGAATGTTACAATGGTTACAGCTTTTTTAATCACTCTTTATTACATGTTTTCGGGGATTGGCGAAGTTAAGATTGAAGACCGAAAACTCTTCAACGATATTTCTCTATTTCCACTTTTCTTCAGTACCGTGTTATTTGCCATGGAGGGAATTGGAACAATGCTACCAATTGAAAATTCACTATCCAAACCACAATTCATTGGATGTCCTGGTATTTTAAACATTGCAATGAGTTGTGTGGTTACTCTTTATACTGTTATTGGTCTCTTCGGTTACCTCAGATTTGGTGATAAAGTTAACGCAAATGTCATCGAAGAATTACCAAACACAGACATGTAACTGTTATTTCACATAAGTTAATTTATTAAAAATTGAATTTGTAGCGCAGCACAGGTAGCCAAGATGTGTGTAGCCACCGCTGTTTTTTTCACATTTATGTTGCAATTTTATGTCCCTTGTGAAATAACATGGAGGAAACTATCACCAAAAATCCCAAAAAACTACCACAATATTTCACAAATTGTTATGAGAACACTGTTGGTGGTTTTTATAACGGCATTAGCTGCAGCTGTTCCAAAATTGGACGCTATTATCGGATTAGTAGGATCAATATGTTTTTCAACTCTTGGACTTTTTATACCAGCCGTTATTGACATTATTTTAAATTTGGGAGAAAATGCTGATTTTGGTTTCATGAAGTGGAGATTATTAAAAAATATTTTTATTGTTATCTTGTCATGGTTTGCACTTGTCTCAGGTAGTTACTATGCTATTAAAGGATTAATTGAAGATTGAAAGAACAAAAGAAAGCATATTTAACTTTAAACGTTGGTTAAGCAAATACAAATATGACATATTTCTTACGAAAAATTTTGAAAGAAAATTATTAAAAAGTTTGTACATTTTATCATTACTTTTAATGGAATTATGTCAATTAAAATTTAATTTTGTTGATGTGTATAAATTATATGTTGTATATTTTGCAATCATATTTTCCACTTAATTTAATCCAATATTAGTTTTATCTTTAAAATAATTTTATAAATTAAAATCAAACTGCACAAAAACAATAACGTAAATAAAATTAAAATAAAAAATAAAACCAGCGCATCCACCAAAGTTGTAGTTTTATACTCTACAAAAATTGCTGTAAGACACCAATAAAAATACAAAATATTAAAAAAATACCACCTTGTTGAGTTAAATAATTTTATTTGCAATTACTTGTGCTCCAACTAATTTAATTAATAAGTGATTAAATTTTCAGCATAGATGTGTAGATTACAAATTCTACTTATTATTTTGTAAAGTTTTCACATGCTTTGGAAATATAACACTAAACTGACTTCTTTTTATAAAACCATCATTTACATTTCTGTTTATTGTTTGCGGAAATAAGTTTACGTTAGTTTTGTCCTTTGAAATGCGTGCAGAATATCTACGACTAGTTTTTGTCTTCGTTGTTTCAAATCCAGAAACAATATTCCAATCACGATATACCATTAAAATTAATGAACAAATCATTAATAATATTCCTAATGTAAGTATTAAATTTTTTACAACATGCAACAGATTGATAACATAAAACATATTTTTGAGAAATGTAATTATTCTTTCGTCGGTTTCTTGAACCTAAAAGCTAATTATTTAAATTGTAAATAAAGAATAAAAAAACGTCAATTAACTTTTTCTGTCCACAAAATAGGAAATATACCTTCTCTCATGTTTGTTGTACCTAAATGTTTACTTTGTTTTATTGGGACATTAAACTGGAATCTAATGGCATAATTTAGAATTATTCCACTCCGCTGAAACATATCTCTTAGCCTTAGTAGTCTGCTAATAAAACACAAAATTCAAATTTACTATTCCAAGTGCAATAAAAGAATCATGTATTTTTTTCTTCGGTGCTAATCCTTTAACATAATTTAGAAGCACATCGTCACCAAGATAAAAATGCGGGTGAGACAAAATAATATCCATGTTTTTACAATTGCTTAAATTCATGGTTCCTTTAATGTTGCAAGACAAGGAACCTTTCTTTTTTCCAGAAGATTTACAAAAACAAGAATTTTTTTTAGATGAATCAAAAGTCTCTTGATCCATTACATAAATGGAAACTGGTACATCATAAATTTTGCTATAACCGTCAAATGGGAAAGCTATGGACCTACAAAATTCACTGAAAAATGTGTAAATACTTCGTTTGGTTGAATATGTTGAAGGCGGAAATATAATTAAGTTTGATCCTTCAATCTTATTGCATTTAGATTTTAAACGCCAATTATTTAAAAATTTTCGTCCTTGATACGTTAGTATGTGTCCTCTCTCAGAATTGTTGTTTCGTATAAGAATTTTAAAAGGTCCATTTTCAGTTTTATTAATCTTTAAGACGTACATTTGATAATATTATGTTTTATTTAATAAGTCTGTACTTACATGATTAAATATTGAATATTTTAAATCGTTACCAAATTCTCTCAGAAATTCCATTTGCTCAGTTTTTAAATACAAACATACCAGACCTAACACAACATTAACTTGTTTTTACTGTTAGAAACAATTGCCATTGTTACAAACCAGACTCGTTTAAACAGTTTATAACAATACCATCAAACAAAATATCACGAACCCTTGCTTGGATAAATAAATCATATTCGTCCAAAAAATTCTCAAATACAGCGTTAATTTTACCATCAGTCTGGTGTTTAACTTGATCTTCAATATTATTTCCTATTGTCTGCAAAAACTACAATTACGTATTTAATTACACAAAAAGATTTCTTTCTACGATCAAAGCACTATTTATAACGGTAATAAAATCATCTTCTGTGCGCCCTCCACTTTCTTCTGCATTGAAAAATAATTGAGTTCTTTCAAGGAAATCAAACGTGTCTGAATTTTCTGTGTAGTTAATAACTGTTCTAAATTTTAGCTCACTTAAATAAAGTAGTAAGAAAATTTTTATAGTGTAACAGTAATTTACTTGTAAACATAAGGACCAACTTCTCTCAAAACGGGTTTTTCTCCGTTTTTTATTTCCTCACTGTTTGTAACATCAAAAAAGTAAATTTTGATTTTAGTTTTTACAGTTGGATTTAAAAATTCATTAAATAAAAATGATCCGTTTTTGTAAACCGCCTGAAAATTATTTGTTACAATATTTTAGCACAGGTGTGGATTATACTTGTAAAAAATAAGAATTTTCTATTATGGGAATTACATATAGTGAAGATATAACACCCAAAAATAATATGAAACAACCAAAAATGCCAACAGTGGGAGGACACAGTACATACATTTTTTGGCTGCAATAAAGTTAGATTTTATGTTTCTCAATATTGATTTTTGTGTGTAATATTGTACATGTCTCTTGAATAATTTAATGCAACAAAAATAAATAATTCACTGACAAAAAATCAGACTTTTAAATTTAGCGCGTTAAAGATGGCGCTGTTGTTCCTCAGCTAACTTCAAATCCAAATCCGGCCTAACTTTACTTTAGTTCACATTGTCATTTTTGTGTATGGTTCCGTCAGTGTAGTGAATTTTGTTTATTTTCAGTAAAACAATAAAAATAGACTATGGGATGTTTGTAACGTGTTCATTTCCGCTCAATTTTCACAAAACCGGCAAATTTTGTAAATAGAATTGGTTCAATGTGTGGCAAATTGCTCATTATTTATGTTTATATACTTTTGTTTTGATTATCTTTGGTTGGCGCATTCTTACCACTTTTCTCAGATATCCTAAGATTAGCCTTCCCAATCTTTCACAAATCACTGTTAGCAATGTTAAGCTCCGAATGATTTACCAATGAAATACTCAAAAAGATGTGCCTGCATTCTTTTATCTTTGTTGTGTGTGTTGCAAATAATTCAAGGTTTGTGTAAACATAAGTAATGATTTGCTTGTATATTTTTGATCTGTTTTAGGACAACCTACAAATAACCCACTGCTTTTATATTCCACCACAAAGGATATTAGAATAGCGAATACAACAAGGAATAGCAATAATAAAATAACAACTACGTTACTAGTGAAAAATTTTACAGAAGGTCCTGCTATTGATTATCATTATGAAGAAGAAAAGATTTGTTGGACTGATCATGGACTTGAAAGCATACTGTGTGCTCATTTTAATGGCACGGAGGTCAAAAATAAGGTATTAAACAACAAAAAAATATTGCCCAATTTTTACAATTTTATCATGAGCTATTTCATAAACAAAAGCACAAACATTCTAATCATAGAAACTGTTACCTAAAACGAGAATTATATCTTGTTTTTCACATATTTATAGTGGAATCTGATGATGATAATGTGATATACTGTGGGAACGAGCAGATTTATAATCAACAACTTGGGTTTGGTGCTTATTTAACCACATTTCATTACTTGATTAATTTTTGTTATGAGGAGTTGTGTGAAAATGTTAAAATTTCTACGTAAAAAAACACTAATAAATTATACATTTTTTTTGTTTGAGATGAGAGGTTTGTTAATATTTTTATAAATCAAATAGATTTTATTAAATTTTAATTCCTTTTACTTAAAGTGTTCTCTTAAAAAAACATTTATAGTTTTATTGATGTAAATTAAAAATTGATACTATTGTATAATATATTGGTTTTGAAGGTTGAAGTAATCAGCACCGACCTCCTATCACCGGTAGGGCTCGCATGCGATTGGTTCACAAGCAAGTTGTATTGGTTAGACAGCGAAACCAAACGCATCGAAGTCGCTACCATAGAAGGCCTACACCGTAAAGTGCTCTTCTGGACTGACATCGATCAACCACGTGCCATAGCTTTAGCCCCCATGAAAGGGTACCACGCATATTTTTATTCCACCACCAAAATGCAACACTTTGTTTTAGTTTCATGTTTTGGACTGATTGGGGCGAAGTCCCAAAAATCGAAAGAGCGGGAATGAACGGCGACCCCACGACGAGGAGGGTCATCGTAAATACTACCATAATTTGGCCAAACGGCCTTACAATCGATTACGAAACCGAAACGATTTATTGGATTGACGGGAGTTTGCAATTTCTTGAAAGCATGACGTATGAAGGGACGAATCGGACGACGGTTTTAAAGTCAGGGTTTCAATATCCGTTCGCTTTGACGATGTTTCAAACGAAAATTTATTGGACCGATTGGAAATCATGGTATTAAAAATTAAAAGCGAATGGTCAAGTCGACTTTGGAAAATAAACTCAAGCCTTTGAAATGTCACTATTGGTCAAACTATATTTGTTTTCATATTACTGTGCATCGAAGTAGTCGTTGAATGGGACTATTTTAGGGTGGTAACCATGCGAAAATTCAAACAATCCTAACCTCATTCTTCCCTAAAAAAAATTTTACAAATAAATGTGTACCCCAGGTAGCAAAAAGTAATCAAAATTAACTCGTAATTAAGATAGGGTAGCAGACTTAAAGATTTTTATCATTACTGATGTGATTAAATTTGTTCTAAATGACATTAAGCACATTTTTTGTGTGAATCGACCTTTAAATTAAAGATGCAATTAGACTTCTACAACCTACTTGATGCACATTAATATAAAAAAAGATTAGACATATTGTGAATCTAAATTAAAATTTATGAAAATTCTTTCATAAATTCTTACTTTTAATCAAAATACAAAACATTTAAGATACATACATATGCTTCAGAGGGTCATGCTGTTGTTAAATTTGACAGATAACTGACAGGTCAGGTCAACAATATCTAAAATGTTTGTTTCTCAAAGTCTTCTGTGATGACGTGTGTGATTAATGGTAGAAAATTAAGTTTTTATTGTTTTTAGGTGTATTCATTTATACGATCAAAATACGAAACAATCTAAAGAACTAATCGATCATTTAGACTACACTGTACCTATGTATATACAAGTTTACAACAAATTGAGGCAACCAAAACGCCCCCATGCGTGTGAAAAGAACAACGGCGGTTGCTCTCATCTCTGTTTGTTGTCTCCTAACCCCCCGGGCTTCTCATGTGCTTGCCCTTATGGAATTAAGTTAATTGATAACTTGACTTGTGCCGAGGGACCTCAGGAATTACTTTTATTAGCTCGACGAACTGACATTTGTTTAATCCACTTGGATTCACCCGATTATACYAATAAAATTCTACCTCTCCACGACGTCAAATATACCATAGCTGTAGACTACGACCCTGTACAAGGCTACATCTATTGGTCCGACGACGAAGTGAAAAAAATCCAAAGAGCGCGTCTTAATGGTTCTGACCAATCAGACGTCGTCACTGATGAAATCCAACACCCAGATGGCATTGCAGTTGATTGGGTTTCTCGGAATATTTATTGGACGGATGCAGGGACGGACCGTGTTGAAGTTTATCGACTTGAGAAAAAATACCGAAAAGTGATCATTTTTAACGATTTGATGGAACCCAGAGGGATTGCAGTAGCGCCGGAATTGGGGTGGCTTTTTTGGTCGGATTGGTATGACAAAAATCCTAAAGTGGAAAGGGCGAATTTGGACGGCTCTGACCGCACTGCGATTGTTTACGAGAATTTGGGGTGGCCGAATGGGATTACTTTGGATTTAAATAAGGGAAGATTGTATTGGTGTGACGCTAAAACTGACAGAATTGAACATGCGAATATGGATGGGGGTGATAGAAGGGTGTTGATCAGTAATGACGTGCCTCATGTTTTTGGGTTCACTTTGATGGGTGATTTTCTGTATTGGACGGATTGGCAGAGAAGGAGTATTGAGCGGGCCCACAAAGATACAGGTGATGTCTTAATATAACAATCATATTTGAATTTCATGTGTCATTTCGTAGGTGGGCGTAGAGAAGTTATTCTCGATCAAATCCCGAACGTAATGGGATTAAAGGCAATAAACTTGGGTGATTTTTCTGGAAGAAATCTGTGCAGTATTAACAACGGAGATTGTTCTCAATTTTGTTTCTATCGTCACAACAAAACGAAAGTTTGCGCATGCGAATTGGGATACGAACTTGCTCAAGATCGTCGAACTTGTGTCAAACCGAAAATTTTTCTATTATATTCGAAGAAGAATCAAATTGGGATGATTGGTATCGAAAATAGGAACAACGAAGTTGCAATACCATTAACTGGAGTTAACCATGCTAGGTACTTTATTATTTTCATCATCTCTTTTTTAACACATTTTTTTAGTTCTGTTGCTTACGATACTAGCACAATGCGAATATACTGGAGCGACCTGAGTTCACGTACAATAATGCGATCATTTTTTAACGGTTCAGATACCGAAAAAGTGATCGATTTAGGTTTAACATCACCAGAAGGAATCGCGATTGATTGGTTAGGGTTAAATATTTATTGGACGGATTCTTTTGCTCATCGAATTGAAGTTGCTCGATTGCAAGGTTCAAGTCGGCGGACTTTGCTGTGGGAAGGGAAAGTTTACGATCCTCATAGCATAGTGGTTGACCCCCCAAATGGGTAAGGTTTTACGCAAAAAACAGTTGCAATCAATTGACACAAAAAATAGTTTTATGTACTGGTCGGAATGGGGTACTTCGAAATCAATTAAAAAATCTGCAATGAATGGTGGTAATGTTAGCCAATTGCGAGTTACCAAAGAATACGCCGCGGACTTAACTCTAGATTATGACAGTCGAAGGTTGTATTGGGTTGAAACAAAATCAGCAATGATTTTATCTGTTGATTTGGACGGTAATGATGAAAAAATAATCGTTAAGGATAATATTTATATGCCAGTTGGGTTAACACTATACAAGGATTTTATCTATTGGAGCAATTCTGGTAATTACTAGTCAATTAGTTAGTGACATCTAATTTTTTCGTTTTGTTTTAAGCTGAAATTATGAAAGCTAATAAAATAGACGGTTCAAATCCCCAAGTCTTACATAAACAATCTCATATCACTGATCTCCAAGTCTACCACAACGATTACCGGGGTCGTAATCAGTGTGCTACTAGTAATGGGGGCTGTAGCGATTTGTGTCTAGCTTTACCTGCAAATTCGCCCGAAGAACCAACAAGATTCACTTGCGCATGTCCTACTCATTTCGCACTTGTTAATAATGAGTGTTTACGTAAGTCTTAATTTTSCAATTTTAACACAAAATGATTTAAATGTTACAGCTCCGAAGGAATTTATGATTTATAGTCAGAAAAAYTTGACTGTTCGTTTGTTACCGAGTCCAGCCGGGTGTTTGGAAGCAGTGTTACCTATTCAGGGACTTAAGGCGATCAAAGCTATTGATTTTGATCCAGTCCAAAACTTTCTCTATTGGGTTAGTATCAATCTTGCGAGAAAACAGTAAATAATAATTGTATTTAATAATAGATTGAGGGGAAAACACATTGTATTAAACGGGCCGACGCCAGTGGTAACCACGTTTTAGTCGTGGTTCAAGGCAATAAAGAATTGCAACCATTTGACTTAGTTGTTGATCCTATTGGACGTTTATTGTTTTGGACGTCGTCTCAAAACGTGATCAATGTTACTCGACTTGATAATACTACACCTTTTGGAGTCGTGGTAGAAAAAGACAATGAACAACCGAGGCTTCTGGCAATTCACGCAACAAAAAGGTTGGTTTTGTTGCTTTCTAATAAAATACAAAATTTATTTTTGTTTTAGGTTACTTTTTTATACGGATGTGGGTCCATCTCGACAGTTGGTTCGAGCTCGACTGGATGGATCCCACAGTTATGCAATTACGAAAGAAGCAGACATAACAGCAATAGCGGTGGACTCTGAGAATGATTGCATTGTTTGGGCCCAAGGGCAGAGTATTTATATGAGCAATATTGAGGGCGAAAACCAGTAAGTAATCAACAAGACAAAATGTACAACATTTGCTATGAATGGTTTGTTTAGGCACGTACTTGTGAATGGAAGCCAGGCAAAAATAACCCAATTGACAATCCTGTCGGGTTGGCTTTATTGGATCGATCGCGAATCGACTCAACTCCACAAAATCGAGCTTCAATCCGGCAAATTAAGTTCACCTCTGTCTCTGCTCGCATCCCACATTGTGGATTTAGTCTCAGTTTCGAAACCCGAGCGTAACCACTCTTGCTCCCAAGTCCATCAAAAGAAATGTTCACACTTGTGTATTTTCAATGGGACAAATCCGGTTTGTGCATGCCCGAAAGGCAATGTACTAAAAGAAGACAAAAGAACGTGCTCGGCAATTCAAAATTGTGGTCCCGATCGTTTCACTTGCGTCTCTGTACCGGCAGATCAAGACAATTGTATACCGATTTCGTGGAAATGCGATCGACAGAAGGATTGTTTTGATGGATCAGATGAGTTGAATTGTCCCGAATGCCCCAAAGATCAGTTCAAATGTAAAGACGGATCGTGCATTAGTTTGGCACATGCATGCGATGGGATTGTTCATTGTGCGGATAAGTCGGACGAGGAGGCGTGTTGTCGGGATGGGTTTCAGTGTCCCAATACCCAGGAATGTCTCCCAGCGAATCTAGTTTGTGATAAAATCGATCATTGTGCTGATGGCTCCGACGAACATCCCAGTCATTGCAATAATGCGAGTAAATTGAAAGTTTCGTCGAATGGAGTGGTGTGGATCATCCTTGGGGCCTCAGTTGCGACACTCTTCATTTCGGGAATTTTCGTCTATTTGTTAAAAAGACGCTCAAGTGACGATTTGAACGACCAATCGGAAGATTCGTTAAGTCCGATGCAACCAAAACCTCACATCAAAATCCGCAAAGGTTTGTCAATTATTTATCCACGAATTAATAATAATTTGATTAATTAGGGATTCCCGATGTCGTCCGGATGTCCATGGTGACCGGCAGCGAGACAAGCTACGACCGCAACCACATAACTGGTGCTTCGAGCAGCACCAACGAATCGAGTCTTACTTGTTACCCCCGCGAACCGTTGAATCCTCCCCCGAGTCCTGCCACAACCCGAGGGAGCAGTCCCTCATCCAGGTATCGTCCGTACCGACATTACCGGTCCATCAATCAACCGCCTCCACCTACTCCTTGTTCTACGGATGTTTGCGACGAAAGTGATTGCAATTATCCGACAAGGAGTAGGTACGATGGGGGGCCGTTTCCGCCCCCGCCTACACCCAGATCTCATTGTCACAGCGAAAGCTGTCCGCCGTCCCCGAGTTCGAGGTCGTCGACCTATTTTAATCCGTTACCACCTCCTCCGTCTCCGGTGGCGTCGCCGCCAAGAGGCTACGATTCTTGATACGTCGAATTTTCATTATTTTATGTTGTGATAACAAAACTTAACTCACCAAGATGGAAATTCACATTGTGCCTACGCATTTATGAATTTTGTGTAAATAATATTTAAAAATATGATTTATACTCGAGACTGTTACATTATCTATCGTTAAGTAAATATATCTAGAGAAATGTTTTTATTATTTCGATTATTGAAAAAAATTGCATGTTTAAAGCTACCGCCATTTTGTCCTGATCCTACAATTTTTATGCAGTTTAATTATCACAAAAATGAATCATAAATGCGTCATTGAGCACTTACTGAAATTTAACACAAAAAATTATTTTTTTCTGAATTTTTATTGTTTCGATCTGATAATGTTTCCGAATTTTTTTTTTCGGTGACGTAACACATCTAAAGCATTGGTTCCCAACCTTTAAAATGCAGCAGACCACCGAGGCAAAATTATAAATTCCTTGAAGAAAAATTACATCTTATTACAAATAATTAGTTTACTGGTTGTTAAATTAATATCATCGCAAGTTTTTACTAATTTTTTATAATGAATTTGCAAACCCACTTTTGATGTCTCACGGACCACTGGTTGGGAACTAATGCTCTAGAGTTTAGCTACCGCCAACGCATTTTGTGCGTTCGTCTTTTGCAAACTTAAAATTTACTCACAAAAAGTGAAAAAATGTCGAGCACATCACAAAAACATCGTAATTTCATTGCTGAGCCCATGGGGGACAAGCCCGTGACGGAATTGGCAGGTGTGGGTGAAGTTTTAGGTAAACGTCTTTCCTCTGCCGGATTTGACAAGGTGAGGTTATGTTTTTGCAATAAATTGACTTTTTTGCTGACATCTTGCATATTTTAGGCATATGTGGTTTTGGGCCAGTTTTTAATTTTGAAGAAAAATCAAGAGCTTTTTCAAGAGTGGATGAAAGACACTTGTCAGGCGAATTCAAAACAGTCGGCAGATTGTTGGCAGTGTTTGAAAGACTGGTGTGAGGAGTTTTTGTAAATATTTTTGCCCTCTTTTGTGCAGTTTCCTGCTAAATACAAAACTCTTCAAGTTTTACGTTATGGATGGAATTATAAATCACTAATGTAAATATTTTTATAAGTGAAATATTTTAATTTAGCACAAAATGTGGATTATTTCTATTAATCAACATATTCATAATAAATAATATAAAGCGTTCAAGTCTTTTATTACTCACTTACACAAATAATTAATTAAAATTTATTGCTTTGCGTTTACAATGTTTACAAATTCCGGCTTGAGGGACGCACCCCCTACTAAAAATCCGTCAATATCAGGTTGGGCAGCCAATTCTTTGCAATTAGCCCCAGTAACGGAGCCCCCATATTGAATTCTGATATTATTTCCAACATCAGCATCAACGTTTGTACAGAACCATTGTCTCAAAGCCTTGTGTACTTCTTGTGCTTGTTGAGGAGTGGCTGTTTTTCCAGTGCCTATGGCCCAAACTGGTTCATAAGCAATCACAACATTTGACCTAAAAAAATCCATTAAACTACTTTTTTACTAATCGAGTATTAATTACCAGTCTTTTATTTTCCCAGCAATAGCTTTAGTTTGTCTGAAGACAACTTCTTCAGTTTTACCTCCTTCACGTTCCTCCAAAGTCTCCCCTATGCAGGCTATAACTTTCAAGCCTGACTCCAAAGCATGAGCCACTTTTTCAGCAATAAGTTCATCAGTTTCACCAAAAATCTGGCGACGCTCTGAATGCCCCAAAATCACCCAATTCACACCAATATCTTTGATCATGGCAGGGGAAATCTCGCCAGTGAAGGCGCCTTTAGGAACTTTATAGCAGTTTTGGGCAGCCACTTCAATACTTTGGGGTAGGTTTGTTCGAACATGTTCTAGATAGATTGATGGCACTCCAACAATGACTTCAGCGTTAGAGTTCAAGGGACCAGTTTTGAGGGTGTTGATGATCTCGGAGATTTGTTTTTTATCTCCATTCATCTTCCAATTGCCCCCAACTACGAATTTTCGACCCATGCTGCAGCTGCACTTTCTGAAGAAAAACTAAATGATTTAAATGAGAGAAAAAACACTGCTTTATACGAACACTTTTTAGCGATTAGACAAAGTCCTCAAACCGGTGATTTTAAACTTTGATATGAAATTGATGAAACATTGAATACCCTTCAAGTGCTTAAAGGTCAACAAGCTCCACCTTCGACAGATAACGTTCGCGAGCTCACGCATGGCTTCGGTTTTAGAGGCAGTGGACAAAAATTTGAATTCTTTTCGAAAATTCAAACTAATTAAGACTGATAAACATGGTGTGATTATTTGTTGACTTTTGATGATTGGAGGACATTCACAACATTATCAAATTCGTATTTTTTAAAATAGATAATGAATTTTTATCAGAAAGGTCATGCATTTGTTGTTTTACTAATTATAACTTTACTCCGAATACTATTATATATTTTTAATTAATGAAAAAAAGTGTGTTAAGTTGTGTAAACATTTTTTTTTATAAACTAGGCTCTATAGAAGTCTGTTATAGGTATTCCAGAAATAAACCACTTACCTAATAATTACATTATATGTGAACTTGTATACATGATTAAAGAGCATTGTCGTTAACGTATAGTCTATAAATAATCTATTTGCTATTTATTAATTTTATAGTGAAGTTAATTTATCAAAATAATGACAAAAGTCAACAAAAAATTCAATTTAGTTATACAGAGTGATTTTTCTGCGACATTTTCCCACCAATATCTTTTTGTAGTATACAGGATGATTTAAAACTGTTGGACTAACTTTCGAATGATCATAAAAGACTTATTAGATTCTCAACTAACCATAAAAATGAGTGCAGATTTTTTCTAAGCTTTACTTTTTGAAAAAAAAAAACAGAACTGACGGAACTGACAATTTGTAAATTATCATATGTAGGCACCTTAGCTTTTTTGTTTCCAATGTTGTGGATTTAATTTATTGTTGAATTTGCTTGTTTTTTTAAACGTTTTGTAAATACACCAAACACCACAATAAGTCCCAACAAATATCTGTTTATTGTTGCTGCAAAATTTGCAGTTTCCGCTAACTAAATTCAAGAATACATGATTTGAATGGCTAAAAACTTAACCCAATAAACCTTTGAAAAGCAAACAATTTTTGTCATGAAAACTTTTAACTTGAAGTTGAGTTGAATGTCTTTTTTCACCACCCACGAGATGGTCCCAAACTTTTTTGAACCACCTGTATAAAATGTTACTTTTAGACCAAGATATTTGGCACATGAAAAAATCAATAAAAAACGCTAAATAAAGATATAAAACGATCAAAAAAACAAAATTCCTTAAACTGGACTAATTTTTAACCTAAGGAAACAACAAAGATTCATAAATCATCAAGAATTGAGCACACGAATAAGTGGTTGAGAATCTCTCAAAATCAAGCGCAGTTACCACAAAAAGACTTTAAAAAAGTTACGAATTCCTTGTTTTTACATATCCCAAAATGGCTTATTATTATTACTTCTAGATCAAAGCATTTAACACATGCAAAAAGCATTGAAAGCGACAAAAAAATAAAAAACTACAAATAAGGACCTAAAATTCTTAAAAAACGAATTTTAAGCTGGTTCAGGGCAATTAGTTACAAATAAAAATGGATAAACATTTTCTTTTTTGGTTGTTTCAAATGCTTATTTGATTGTTTTTCAGTGATTTTGTTGTTTGGTAAATCCAGGTCCAGAAATAACATTTTATGTTACTGTTATTTTTTTTTTCAGGAACACGTATTATGTTATTTCCTAAAGTTTTAATTGCATAACTTTTAATTACAATTCACGTAAAACAAACTTCGTAGACACCCTAAAATAATTGATTTTAGTTAGCGTAAAGTTGGTTGCATATTTTAGAATTTTTTCCCAAGAGATAAATAATTTACTAAACTTTGTGAGCGTAAAGTATGATTAAATTTATGTATTAATTTAGACCCAACCCTGATTATATAAAGGAAAAATTAAGAAAAAAATAGAAGCGTTGGTAAATCATTAATTTATCTGCAAGCCCGCCTTTAATTAAACTCGTACGATTTTTAAATCGGTAATTTTTTATTTTTAACTAGAAAATTTTAAATTAAAAAGGTTTAGTACATTTTATTTACTCGTCAAGTGAACAAAAGTGATACGTTTATCACTCGTATTAAAAAGTATGTTTGTAGTTTTAAATAAGAAACCAAAAGAACTTACACTTTGGCATCTGGTCCTGACCCAATTTTTATTGGGGTGCAAGCTGGATCGACTTCAGACATATTAAAAATTTTGTTAAAATGGTCAAATTAAAAATTTTGAAACCACACCAAACGTGACAAGAACAACGTCAGTGTTTTTTTGTCATTTATGATAGTTTATTCGTGTAATTTTCTTTGTAATTATTTTCTTATAACATTTTATTTTATCAAGATTTTTGCTCAAAACAAGTTATTTACAAACGAAGTGAAAAAAAATTTCAATCTTTTTAACTTTACACAGGTAAGTTGACATGTTGTCAATGGTCGTAAAATTGTAAATTTTAGAACAATTTGGCAGTGTTTATGCAATAGAATTAGCACCGCTGTATTATTCCTTGCCGAGCTACACCCATTAAATGTTGAATATCGGTTTCTGCGTTGCGCATGCCTCCGTAAGCCCCATACAGAGGAGTCAACAGAAAAGCCGCGATAGCATTCTCATTGCAGATGTCTGGTRCCGAATGATGGTGTAGTTGGACGCTAGAAAACCGGCTTCTGCAAATCCGTCACATTTTATCTGTGATATGTAAAGTGACGTTCCAGCTCTTGGTAGTCAAAGCCTTCCGGTACCGAGTAGTAGAAATCGCGATTTCCACCGGATTTAGTGTCGAGTGCGAGGGTTGTTTGCCGAAATAACAATGTTGACAAGCAAAGCGAAGCACTATCTCCACTGCTGTCTCTTCATCTATGTGATATTCATGTTCGAGATCTTCACCGGAGGGATTAAACTCCTCGACGGCGCCTTTTTCGTCCCGGCCGAAGACATCAACCCCTGGGTGCAGTACGGGTACTTGGGCGCGTTGGTGCTCTACCTGCTTAGATTAGTGACTTTTCTCCCATTACCCCAAGTGTTGTTTAATTTCATCGGATTGACTTATTACAATGCGTTCCCGGATAAAGTTGTATTAAAAGCGTCACCGATTTTAGCGCCCTTTATCTGTATTAGGGTGGTGACCAGGGGTGATTTTCCGCAATTGGTTAAAAATAACGTCAATCGGAACATGAACAAGTGTCTAGACGCCGGCTTAGAGAACTTCCTTATTGAAGTCGTTACTGATAAGAAGCTGGGGTTGGAGAAACACCGCAAGGTGAGGGAAATTGTGGTTCCCCAAGACTACCGGACGAAATCGGGGGCGCTTTTCAAAGCTCGAGCTTTACAATATTGTCTGGAGGACGACGTCAATGTCTTGTCGCCAAACGATTGGATTGTCCACCTCGACGAAGAGACTCTCCTAACAGAGAATTCAGTCCGAGGAATTTTAAATTTCGTAGGGGATGGAAAGCATCATTTCGGACAAGGGTTGATTACTTACGCTAACGAAGAAGTGGTTAATTGGATTACGACCTTAGCGGATTCTTTTAGAGTCACTGATGATATGGGAAAGCTCAAATTGCAATTTCGGATGTTTCATAAGCCGTTGTTCAGTTGGAAGGGATCGTTTGTCGTCACACAGGTAAAAATCGACCGATAATAACGAAAGTTGCATTCATTTTTTATGTTTGATCGATATTTACTTCATAAAATATGATTTGTGGACGTCAGTTTGTAGCATCATTGTGACTGATGTGTAGCAAACACGCATATTTTTTTCCAATGTTTTTTTCGTAAATGAAATTCACGTGCTGTTATTGGCTGTCTAGTGGGATACGTTTTTAATGGTATCCAAACAAATATCCTGATTTATGTGGTGCCATTATGTGTCTTACAGGTGTCGCAAAGTAATCAGATTTATCGATTTACTACTACAAACTCCGTTATTATTAGAGCACGTTCATAAATTACGTAAAATAATGGAAATCTGATGCAGGTTCTAGTTTTCAAATGATTTTCACTTTTTATCAGAGATACCGACGCACATAATAAAACTGAAAAAAACGTATCCTTTGCTTTAAGAATAATAATTGTTACTTCGTCAAGACTCTCAAGAAGTTAATTATACTAGGTAATAAAGTTAAAAAGTTTTCATACCCGTTTTTTTTAAATACATTGAATGGGTGCTCATTTTTAATTATTTTTTTAACATTCATTGCTGTTAACTTTCGAATGAATATTAATTAATATAACTTAATTTTTATTGTTGATTTATTAAATTGAGGGTGTAATGATTTGTAACTAAACGTGAGCATAATTTTAATAATTTTCTTCTACAAGTATGAGAAAAAATTAAATATGTACTGGTTTATGTTCTTAAAATGTGTTAATTGACTTATTTATTGATTGTTTATTTTAGAAACATAATTACAGTTTTGCTAATTTTGATAAAGTTTTAGGAAATTAGGAACGGAACAAGACAGTTAACACCTTTTTATTTGTTTTTATACATAAAAATTAATAATATTAACGTTCATAATACAAACAGTCAATTTTAATTTGCGTATCACTAGTTTCTTTTTTTATATATTTTATATTTGCCAACAAAGAATAATCTTTTGTTTTTTGTTTATAATTAATATTTGTACTGGGTTCTACTGTGCTTATTTTAATCAACAATAATTGGTCAAATTGTAATGATAAGATTAAGAAGCTTCGTCTAGTTGAACCAAGATAACGTTCATATTTTCCCCAAATATCTGTTTATGTTGAAACATATAATTTTAATTCAAAAAATTATAATTTGTAATAACTGGTAATGTGATAATAGTTATAATCTAGGTGTCACGAGACTTTACTTTAGTGACTTCTAAAACAATGGTAATAAAACGGAAATACCTCACTTTAGATAGCAAATGATTACGATTATTTTTTCCGCTCAGGTTCACGATTGTGTTCTTTGATGTTGCATTCTTATCGTTGGGGTGATTTTGGTCAAGGTTTGTTTATTTCGTTCCAGACAGCTATTTGCCAAAATAACTAACTGACGTCAGAGACGGTAATTTAGCAGTAATCATAATAAGTTAGTGTTGCTACTACCTAACGAATGATTGATGATTTAGATAGGTAAACAGTTTTTACAGAGCATTTAACAGTACGCGATTAGAATTAAGAAGTCTTTTAGAAGTTCTTATTGACGGTACTTAATGCATTTATTGGGGACAGGTACTTACTTCAGTCAATGAAAATTCTCGGACTGAAGATAAGATCGGAATTCGGTCAGTGGTAATTGTTTGATTGTTGTAAAGATTTTTCTTTTTTTCACGTTCTCAATTTGTTGATATTTTTTTCGTAATCTTGGAGTGCACTTATGATTTACAAAGAATAATTGAATGCGATACTTTTAAATACAATACCTAATAAATTGTGAAATTCATTTTATCACAATTATTAACCTTGAACTTTAATTTTTGTTCATTTGTTACGTTACTGTTTACAAGTAATTTTTAGTGCCTCTATTATAAAAAACACATTGTTGACATTTTTTAAAAACTTAATATATGTATGTGCCTACTGCATAATTGCATACAATAATTTGTAAATATGATTATTTATTCAGAAAATACGCTAGATACCTTTAAATAAGGCTTTATTGACGTGGATTTTTGGAGCAAAAGTAGGTAGATAAATGCCTCACCAAATAATGACTAATTTTCATGCCTAATCATTTTGAGTAATGAAAAATTTCGTGACTTTTTTGTGATTTGTTCAATGTTTTCATTAGTTTATTTCTACATTTATAGAAAAACGTGTCAGAAATGTGAAATCAAGTGTAATAAATGATAAAAATTACTGCACATTTATTGTGCTTATTGTTATTACTTATTACATTACCACAGACCACATTCTAACTAGTGCGTGGTCGGCCTCTTATTGCAAATTTTACTCAGAATTTCAAAAATATACATTTTATGATTTATGACAACGATTTCCTGCTGAGAATAAAGCTTTATTTGTTTTGGATTTTTAAATTTCGTTGTTAAACAATTCTTGTTAGCAGGTGCTTAACAGTAATTATTATTTGCTTGTTTCGTACTTATACTTTTTATTAATTTTTTTTTGTAGTAGTGTTTGTTGTTTCAAATTTAATTTTGCACAATTCAATTAAATTAATTAACAATAGTAACTAGCATGAAACATTAATATTGTAATGTTTGAAACAATAATACTGATGCAATAATTGTTTATACATCTAATAAATAATTGCGATTTAATAGTCAACTTTGTGTTACACAACAATAATCTTTTCAGTGTATTTTTTTATTTTTCCTGTTAGTGTCATTTAAAAAATCATAAACCTAGAAAAAAGGGATTCGTCATCAATGGATGACAGCTTAATCATGCATATTGATAAACACGACATAGACAGTTGCATTGTTTATTAATTAACCGTTTCGCATTTTGTCAATTCACAAGTCGAAAACTTCCAACAGTTCAAATAAAACGATGTGACCTTTAATAATTGTCATTTACATTAATTGTGTTAAAATATGTGGTTCACTTATTGTTGACATGAAAATTCAGACAAATAGCTAGATCATCGTTTAAGTGGATTTTCGTGTCGTTTTCGATGGTTTTATTGACAAAGTTAGTGACGTTCGTACACTCCCAAAATCGTGGAAGTTTGGCATCGATATGTAAAAAATATTTTTAGAATTGTGCAAGTGGGTAATTTAGCAAAAGTCAGATTTAATTTGTGCTAAACGAAATTAATGGGATGCAGGTGAAGAAATGGAATTATGTAAAACGTGTTAAATTTGTAAATAGTTAAGTGGGAAATGGTCAAGGTTTGCACTTTCTGCCAACACAAATTATTGTGTACTGAACGCCAATGGTAATAATTGCAGCGATTTCATTGGATTAGCATTTGTTGCACTGAAAGTGTAAAAATTGAGATAATTAACCTTTGCACATTTTGGCTACTTAACATAATTCATCCGGATTATATTTTTGAAAGTGTTTTTGATTTAGCTCATTAGCATTAATTTAAGTACTTGTTAACTGCTAATACACATTTTCCTTATATAGAATACTTTTTAAAATAAACACGTAAAATGTTAAGTATCGATTTAGTGGTCATCTCGTTTGATTGAAAATAGTCAAGTCAATAGTTTCTTGTATGCCTAGCCTCTAAACGAAATTTTTGGACCCAGTCCTTGGCCTTAGCTAAAAGTAGTTTTTCGTCGTCGCTCATTTTCATCTAACAGACCGTGAAATCGTTTTGTTTGAAATCCAAATTCTATTTACACTTCTGTGAAGATTTGCACCAATCTTTCTAAGATTTCTGCTTCAAATGCAAATATTTGCCTCTTTATGTCTGACTCAGAAACGCAAAAATAACGTTTAAAGTAGTTCCGTTGGGTTATTTAATCAACACAGTTTTTGTAGCGTGTTTAGACCAATTAATAATTCGATTGAATTGGTCCGTCCTCGAATGTGATGTAAAATCGGAATAATGAAACTAAGTCGCATTCTTTCTTTCTACTGGCATTGACGACAGAAATAAAAGGCTTCGAGCTAATAAAAACTTGAAATATTCATTTTATTTTATGTTCCAATAAGAATATTATTTGTTTAATGAGTTCGCTACAAATTGCAAAAGTTTGGAATATTTCATATTCTTGTTCCTTGAACAAGTTTTTTTTTTTAATTTTCTACCAACTGCAAATATTCTACATGAACTTTGAACAAGGTTAGAGAATCGCTGCCTTGAAAGTGAAATATGTTAATATAAAAAATGCAATGATGGGAATGAGGATAAAATACCTGTTATTTGTATTTGTATTTGTAAAATTTGTGTGAAGTTAGTTGTATTTCTCGAAAATAAGATTATAGGTGAAAGTAATGCAAGAAAAAGCGAAATTTGATATTTAATTATGAAAATATAGAACAAAATTTATAAATCTATTGTGTGCAAATGTGGAACGAGGCAGTAAATCATTAAGGATTTATTTATAAGAAGCAAAATATGTGACTACGTCAGTGAATGTGGATGATTACTATCATGGTGGATTAAAATTTTTCTTATTGTCGTCATTGTCAGAAAAGCCTGACTTTGTATTTTTGTTATGTTACATAAATGTTTGGCAAATTGTTATGACATAATTTATTAATAATTAAATCTTGTAGATCAATTTATAAACAGCTATTTAAATCCGGTTTTATTTCACTTTTTGGAATTTTGCAATCTGAATTTATTATAATTTTATGCAATTTTTATGGAAGTAAATACAATTTGAAAGTTTAGGTATTCGCGGCTGTTTTTATTAAATTGTAATATATTAAATAAATGTCTTGGAAAAATGGCATGTACCTACAATGTGGCCTATTATGGGTTCTAATAAAAGAAGCTATTTTTTTGAAAATATTTCTTCGAAATCTGTCTCAACGGCTCTGGGGTCCGAGACACGTCTATAGCCTGCCTACTGATAAGAGTGATAAGATAAGTATATTTTTCATCCACATCCAAATATTTATGCGTCAATAAAACATGGTCATTACTTTTTTAAACTCTCATAAACCTGTCGTTGACCCTTCGTCTGCCGATTCACAAATTACCAATTTTACCATGCTTTTGTACAAATTTTAAATAAAAATTAACTATTTATTTACGTTTATTTACACGTTTTTTGTGAATTGGTAAATCCAGGCGTATTTTGCGGAAAGCTCGAATTACATTGCGTGTCGTGTTGCAATCTCGATTTTTTAAGTATGAATTATTGCATCCATTTTAATTAGCTTTGCTTATTACAATAAGAAAAAAAGTCACGAAGCTGATTGCAACGATATTGCTTGCCTTATCAATAAGATGCAAGTGTTTATTGGATGTCCTCTAAATTTCATAACGCGGTTACATAAATTGCTTTATTGTGGGTTATTTTTGGCATGATACCTACTAGGAACGATAAACTGCCAAGCAACAGCCTTGGATATTATAAATAATTATTATTGTCTCTTCTATTTAATGTCTTTCTGCGTGCACATAAAACTAATGATTTTAAAAAGGTATATATTTTTTAGAATCGGAAAATTCCGCCCAATTTCAGTGATTGATTCATGTTGCGATAACATTGTTTAGTGGATCCATTATCGTCAACAATTTCAATTTAATTCGTTGAATGCTATTCTTTACAAATGGACTAATAATAATTACATCGCGTAGTTTTATTAAAATTTATGTACGAAATGATCGATTGTTTTAGCGTGTAAAGGAGAGAATGCTCCGCAGCGGAAGTAAAGTTCACGGTAAATGTAATATCGGCGATCAATATGTCCCGAAATAACGAATATTTTGTGCGAGTTTTGCAAGGTTGCCAACTGTTCGCGGTACAAAAATGTCGCATTGTGGCGATAATCCTGTTGTTCAATATTTAGCTTTGTGTATGAAATTAAATTGTTTGCGATTGGTTCACAATTTTGGAAATAGGTTAATAGATAGAACCGCATTTGAGTATTTGGGACACTTATCGCACCACCAATTTGTGTTATTATTACTTGTGTTACCAAACCTGTAATTAGGCAAAGTACTGGGGAGGAATGGCCTATGATTTATTTAATGAAATAATAACATCATGTCGGTTTAACAGAATTTCATTAGTTGATTAGTTGGGCGAGGTTAATTTTGGTTATACGTGATTAAATAATTCAATGACAAAGTACTAGTTTCACTTCAATCTTATTATTAGAAAAAATCTATTCTTCCTTCTCCATTTACCTAAAAAAAGGTTCACCTGCGTTTTATTGCCCCCGAAAGCAATAAAATGTCCCTTGGAAAAGAAATATTCTGTTCGAATGTTTCTTTATGTACATATAAAAGAGTAGTTTGGCTTGGAGGTCGAAAAACTTCACGTATGATTGGCTACGATAATAAATAAATTATCGCTAAATAAATAATGTAGATGTTGTAGTTCAAAGAAATGCTTTTCGATGGAAAAAAATGAAAGTGAACAAATAGAAGCACTACTACCGTTGCATATTTTATGAGAGTTCCGAGTAGAGAATAGCAGAAAGTGAAACATATTTGTATTTTCATAAAAAACTTTGTATAGTTTTTCTTATTAAAAGGGTCAAAACTAGGAGAAATCACCTTTTTAGTGGTATACAATTAAAATTTACGTGCAATTAAATAATTAAGTACAATCACATGCCGCACAACTGCTTGCTCACAAATTTATTTATTGTACCTATAAATACCTAATGTTACAACGAAATTTCGAAATTTGGATGGAATGTTTCATTGATTGTGTATCAATGAATTGTTTTGGGATTTTTTTTATTAATTAAATCCTGTTTTGATCATTTTCATTGGAAAAAGAGTGATTCATCTGCGTAAATACAGATAATACAATAATCTTACGACTTTGCACCAGATAACTCGAATCATTCTTCACTTTATCGAAAAAAATTGTGATCAAAGCTTACGTTCTATTTCGTCTCTTCTAAGTTTTTGATGTTGATGTTGCTGGGTAGTTTTTTTATCATCTGTTACACATATGCCTCTGTTACAAAAGAGGAATTATTCACTTTGAGGCTGTAAATTAAAAAAAAAATCTGGTGGGCATGAATCATTTGGTATTCCCTGAAGAAGAAACATTTAGTGGAATTTAACATTAGTCAGGTAACAATAATGAGACGTCCTTGCAACAGTTTGATGCCAAACAATGTACTGGTAAAAATATTGTTACAAGGTAGACACGTGTGTGCTCTGAACAAATAATGTCAGTTATTAGAGTTAATGAGAGCTGATTAAATGACACGTAAGAAATATGTTTGAGACAAATAATGGAGTAAAGATGAGAGTCTACTGAAGCGAATTTCTGTGATATTAAAATTCCCATCAAATGTTGTGAATTTACTTAAAGACTTGAAATGTTCAGTGCATAGAACACAATAGCGCTTTTTTTTAATGATTGATTGTCGCGGTATTCTTGTGACCGGAAGGATATAACGCTTCTGCTTTCGCCATTTCCTGTCTCCGTACACGCCGTTTGGGTGGAAACTGTATTTATTTTAACGAAAAATTACTATAATTAAATTCACTGATTAGTGTGTTAGTTTTTGGTATTGAGAAGTTTGAAGGTGAACGTACGATAAATTTATTCTGTGTTTGTGGAAATAGTGAAAATTTTTGTTAAAATCACATATCAAACGTCACTCTTTTGATTGACCTATTAACACTCCGGAAGTTTTCAAATGCCTTTTTCTACTTCGGTAACTTGCCGTCATAAATTGATCAAAACAGTGTAAATGGGTTGATGAAAGAAAAATATGCCCAAGGACGGAAGAAAGTAAATATTTTATAGTACACCGAAGAATTAACTATCCAAACAAAATGGGAAAATGATGTTTTTGGTTTTTTTTTCATGCTTTTGATTGTTTCGTGCTGTTGGCTTATTTTGATCAAAGTCTACGATGGTGACTCAGACAAATATACGTTTGAGGAAAGAGATATTGTTTTAAAGCAATGAGGACATTAATCAGTGATTCAGATTTGTTTATTTTGAAATTATTGATAACTCTTTTATGAAAAATCGGGTTTCATTCGTTCTTCCAAAAAAGGAAAATTAAAATTCTACGACTTTAAGATGTCTCTTGCGCTGGTATTATTCTTTTTGTTGGTTAAAAATTCCAGCGAGTCATTTTTGGCGTTTCGCGTCGAACTCGAAGAACCAGTTCGTCGTCCATTCGTTTTTTTCTGTCAAGTTCACGGAAAGTGACCCTCGTTTTTGTTCCAGGTCGGCGCAGAACGCGAAGTCTCGTTCGACAACGGCCTTGATGGTTCGATCGCTGAAGACTGCTTCTTTGCGATGAAAGCCTTTAGCAAAGGCTACAGTTTCAATTTCATTGAGGGCGAAATGTGGGAGAAGTCCCCTTTCACCTTTTGGGACTTCATTCAGCAGCGCAAACGCTGGATCCAGGGTATCCTCCTCGTGGTCCACTCCAAGGCCATCCCACTTAAGAATAAACTCCTGTTGGCTTGCTCGTGCTACTCTTGGCTCACTTTACCACTCTCCGTCTCAAATCTGGTGTTGGCGTCGAAGTTTCCCATCCCTTGTCCGCCGATTATTGACTTCATTTGTGCATTTATCGGTGCTGTGAATATTTACATGTTTGTGTTCGGTGTCATAAAGTCGTTTACGGTTTACAGGTTCGGACTGGGACGATTTGTACTTTGTCTGTGCGGGGCGGTACTCGTGATACCCTTTAATTTAGTTATCGAGAATGTTGCCGTAATTTGGGGGATTTTTGGCAAAAAACATAAGTTTTATGTTGTTAATAAGCACGCCAGACCGCCAGTGACGGTCTAAGAGCCTGAAGACGGATTCAGAAAATGAGAAGCGTTCCAAATGCGGATCTGTTGGACGTATTCTCATTTTCCTTCTTCCAGTAGAAAATAAATTTTTACTTTATGTTGTTCTTTTATAAATATACAACGTATTAAAAATCAATTATATTGATACGGAGCGGTTTCAGAATTGACCACCTCATTCATGTATTTATTACGAGTCATCCCATTATCAATTATGAAATCGCCAAATTAGTATTTACGTTTTTTGAAACGCAAAATTCTTTAAATACCGCGTGTCCCAACTACATAAGACTGGGAAAATCTTATTAGTTGAGCCACGCTGTATTTACGTTTTGTTATCTGATGCACTGCTCTAGACGTTTCATTAAAACGAGCTGATAGTGCAATAAGAAATGCAAACATTCGTTTTTTTCCATCTTATTACAGACAGCTTTATTAAAATGCTGCCTTATCAAGATTTATACGTTCCATAAAAACTCCTCCGCGAATTTCGGTACAAAACAATTACCTTATTACAATGTACGGGAGGACCAAATATCCGACTTTTATCGAAAACTTTATTCAGCTTTTTTATGTGTTCCTAAGTCGCGAAATACGTATTTTCTTTCACCGTTTTCCTTGCATTGACTTCACTAGCTTCCACTGTAGCTTGCCATTAAATAAGCGAATTTTGTTGTAGTAAGTAAATCAAAACGATTTAGAATCAAAAAATTGTCCAGCCAAAATTTTTATTGATCAAGTAGTTTGTTATTTGATTGGTGTTTTAAAGTCATAAATTAGTGTTGCAAGCGTCTTATTCCTTGTACAGTAACAAAGATCTAGAGTTGTTATATTATTTAATTTAAGACGTGAACATGTTCATTTAGTAAACTGGTCTAGTGCATGTTAATAGAACAACATTTTTTTAATACTCACCGGCTCTTCATTGTGACTGTTAAGAAATAAGTGAATACCCCAAAGATTATTTTTTATTGTATGTAAATAACTTCATGTTTTTATGATGAATTCATTAAATTTTTCACTAAGGACATACTAGTCATTATTGATTATCCAAATAGTATCGGTTGATCTTATTATTTAGCTGATAGTTTTTGTAGTTCATTGTGATTTCGGGCTATTTTTTCGAGAAGCAAAAGTTGTTTTAAAGCCGACTGATGATTTTTTATGTACAAAACGTTAAGTAATAAAAATGCACAATACCAATAACTTAGTTGTTTTATTTCCTAATGACACCATTTCAGGATGCGAAAAATTAACCGACAAATTTAATTCCTTTGTTCCAACACGGAGAATACTCGCATGGAATAAGTGAAACTTTATCGTTCCATGTCAAGGAGCACGTTCAAAGTCATCTCGAAATTCTTTTATAATTTGTCGCGATTCGATGGTTATCAGCTGATAAAGATGCTTTGCAAATATCATTGTCACAGTTTATTTTTACTGAGTTTGCTCACTTTGAGCTAACTACCTACAAACCTACTGAAATAAAATGTAAGTACTTCACTTGTTGACAAACGAAAATATTTTTTATTAAAATTAGTAACGAAGTTTCTTTTTCTTGGCCTATTGCTTTATAATATAATAAATACTTGATGCAAAAACGACAGAAATGTAGATTATATCCTACAATACGTTTACATAAATTAGAAATAAATTATTGTCATCAGTAATGTAAGGTCACTTTCCATTAAAATAATAAAATTTAATTGACGTCACTTGTATCACGGCCAAAGTCATTACACATAATTTTCCTACATTTGCACTTTTTTTGGCGTTTGTTCGATTTGTACATGTAACACGTATTTAAATTCACGAATTATGCAAATTACTTTTTATCACTTTGTACTTCAGCTAATTGTAAGTCACCTACTTTTTATAATTTCACCTGAGGGATCAAAGTTCGCCAAACTCGTGAAAACTGGCCAATTCCCAAAAAAATTGGACACTTTCCAGAAACAGTTTGCTCCCAAACATTAAATAAATACACCAATTTTTATTGAAATAATAGACAGTATGCGAAAATGGTCTTTACTTACAAAATAAATAAACTACGGTGAACTTCAAAAGAAACACATTTTTCTATGAAATTAAATAATTTAATGCGAGCCATTACTTTGAGTCGACTGATTCAGACTGTCCTCATCGTTGTCCTCAAATTTTATTTCAATCTGGCAAAAGAGGAATGAGCTTACATTACTCGAAATAAATAACCCTTACTAATTCTCCTTCATTTTCATTACTTGTTTCAGGTGAATTGTCCGTCCTATCTGCTGATTTATTGTTATTAGCAATCGCTTTTCTAAATCGTGCTTCTTTGGGGCTGTAATAATACCTTCGAGAAGCGTGAAAAAGATCAATTTTTGTTTAAATTATTTTACTCACCCAGGATATTTCAACTTATGTTCCTCATCAGCCCGCTTTGCATCTTCATAAAAAGCTTCTTTAGTTTCCTGCGATAATGATTTCCACATGTTTCCTAATCTAACTGATATGTCTTTATTACTTTCACCTGTAAAAATAAAAATTATTAAAAGAATTTGAATTGTAGATTTGGAGACTTGGATGTTCCACTGCTAGTTTTTTGCGCCACTGGTTTGCAAAAATCATAAATGCGTTAGGAGGGCGTGGAATACGTGCTAAGTCTTGGGTATCAACAGGGCCGGAATCTTTAGTAATTTTCTTCTAAAATAGATGATATTAAGTGATGATCTTTGGTAATTGTAAAAAAATACTTTGTCTGGAGGTGCAGGTGACGGCAGTTTCCGTTTTTTAGCAGATGGACTCTCCTTAGTTTCTTTATCATTCTTCTGATCGATTTGGACCACTTTATTACAGGTAATTTTTTTATTTTCGGCTGTACTTGTTTTGTCGTTTATTGGAGATGTCCCTTTTTCGCAACTTTTGCCATCATTTGAGTGCGTTTTGTGTTTGTCTTGTAATTCAACCGAACATAAGCCCTTCACTTGTAACATTTTACCCAACGATAGGAATTGTTGCATATCAGAATCTGCTACTTTTACTTCACCTTTATACATAAATTGTATAACTAATTGGAGATCTTTGAATGTCACATCATTTAGTAAAATTAAAAGTTGAGGATTCGTGTGACTTTCAAATATTTTCTGCAATTATTTTTATGATTTATTATTTTAGCAATAAAAAAAGTACCTGAAAATAAATGCTGCACGCTGATAACACCAATTTGTGTGCTTTAATAAACTGGCCCTCACAACCCAACGTAACATCAACTAAAGCTTCTTGGCTTTGATGTTCGTTAAAAACGTTGATCAAATTCGAAAAATAACTATTCCATCGCAAATTATAGAGTTCAGTTGGAGTGCTCAATTGGGAGACCATTGTTGCTAGAAAAGTACATTATTTAGACAGGCGTACCAATCTCTATAACCTAAATAAAAGTTTAATAGATAAACAGAACTAATTATCTCAAATTACTAAAAGATTAGTGCATTATCAAATTCAAATTAATTTACGTGAATATAAATCAGTTACTAATGTGAAAATGGCAGCACATGCAACAATCAAATTATATTTTTAGGTTTGTTGCGTTTGTGGCAGAAGTGACAACAAAGTGAGAATTGTAGTAATTAAATATGCGGAAAGTGTGTACAATGACAATGAAAACTTACGCAAAATTTGTTAATTTGCTTTAAAAACTGAAATTTAATTATGCCAATGTGGGCATCCTTGGCACAACAAACAATCGGTAACAATCGGCACACTTGCGCCATCTATCAGGCGCGTTTGTTTAGAAAGTCTTTTATTTTTTGATAAATATGAGACAATAAAATAAGATCAAAATTAGTTCCTCAACATAATTGACATCGTTTCAATTTATTTGTTTTCTAAAAAATAATGAACATATAAAAAATATGTTTTTGCTAAGGTGTATATTTGGTTGCATAAACATTAACATTTTTACGAGATAATTAATTATTGATTAATGTTCAGTATTTTTTTTAATATGATATAATACAAATCAACTCGCCTTATTTAATACCCATATTTTTTCGGCAATTGTTTTATTTGTAATATTTTTAATATTCGTTTCGTTTGTTAGCTTCTGTTTGGTGCCGCCATCTCTAATACACCATTTTAGTTACCATTCGCACAAAAACATGGGTAAAACCCCGAATTTCAATATAAAAAATTATCCAAATCCTCATGAGAAATTCTTAAAACTCCAATTCCAAAATGAAAAATCCGTGAATACTTTGTAACAAAATACAGGATGTCCCACCAGTAATAATGAGACTGAAATTTTTTTTTGAAGCAACCAACATTACTTTTCAAAAATAACATGGATATTAAAATATTTGGTTTTGTTTTAATAAATTAAACATAATGACCAAACAGAGCATTTATAATTTATAACAAGTCAAACCTTGGAGAATTGGAGAATGAGAATTACTAAAATGTTGACGAAAAGACCAATAAGATTCCCATTTATGAAAAATGTTTAAAAATCGCAGACTGCACGTTTCTATCCAAATAGATAGGGGGGTTGCCATTTAATTTTTTTTTTTCAAAACTCAAAAATTAAAAGTAATTTCGAAAAATGTTATTCTTGATAAATTGCCACATATTAATTGTACTTTACACTACACTCATTATTTTTTTCGTAAAGTGGTTAGTTTACGAAAAAACGCTTGGTTCCATACCTTCTATTCACCCAGTATGTTTAGTGTCAAAATTCAGTCATTTTTGACAACGTCAGTTCGCCACCAGATTTGGAACAAGCTCTATCCATGTTATCTTTGAAATGAAATGTTGGTTGCTTCCAAATTTTTTTCAGACTCATTGATACTTGTGGCACACGAATTTTACGGGAAGAAATTATAAACCATAGAAAATTTTACTTTGTCTCACATTTTTTGACATTTTTTATTGCTTCAAATACGGGATACAAAAAGTGTAAGGAACAAAGTTGTAGAAAATATTTTTTTTTTACGAAAAAAGTTTGGCATCAAATCTCTTTTTTTAACGGTTTAGGTTTAAAATCTTGATTAGAGACGGAACAATCGGTAGAGCTCATTCCATATCTGGTGGCGAACTGACAGTGACAGAAAAGACACTTGGAGTGCGCCCACTTGGTTAAGATAAAAAATACATGGGCGTACTTTTTTTCTCTAAAAATTTTGAAGACAAGGATTGTTAGGAATATCATTTTTGAAAATTCTTTCCATGCGTTAAAAATTTAATAATTCGTTCATCATTCTTCATYTTATGATGTACGAGTACCTACTTATTATAATTTTTTAAAGAATAACAGTGGTTTTAAAATATTATTTCATACGACGCCTATGAACAATTTTTTTTTTTAATAGTAAACACATGTTTAGTGTCAAAATTCAATCATTTCTGACAACGTCAGTTCGCCACCAGATTTGGAACAAGCTATATAAACGAAATGTCTTTGTCACTGAAACATCTATGACTGTCTCTAGGGCTGATATTTTGAATTTTTTGAATTTTTTAAAGGAAATTTGATTCTCTACAACTTTGTCTTTTTTTTCAAAAAAGGCAAAAACATACTGGGTGCGCCAGAACTCACGCCAGAACTCACGCCCTAGGGAAAAATTTCAAGTTAGACATTTAACATTTTTTTATATCTATTTAATGTTACTGATGATCTTGTGTATGTTTTTTTTACAATTATTTAGTAAAGGTACCAAAATTTTGCCAATAAAAGCGACAAATAACTTTGAACAGTTACAATTTAGGATAGAACTTCCTTCGAATAGCCTGTAATAAAAAAACTTGGAAAATTATTTTTCCAATAGAGATAAATAGAGTCAAAGTGCAAAAAAAACTTTCGTAACTTCGATTTCTTCGGTTTCTTACTTTATATGACATCTTTTCTGGGGCGCGAGTTCTGGCACAGCCTGTATACAGTGACGGTGTTATTTCGCTGAACATCGTTTCCATGTTCAATTTTTGAATATTCGTGTCAATACATTGTCAGGAATTAGTTGTTGCAAACAATGTCGCTAGGATTGCTTGAGAATTATGTTGTAATTGTTGGACAATAATTAAATTTTAATTAATAATATAACTAAAACGAGTGACAAAGTGACACTGCATAGTTTGTTTTTTCATATATTATTGTACTATTTGTAAAAAATGGCAATGTTGATGATTGACTAAATTGATTGATTAAATTGTATTAAATTGATTGATTAAATTGTATTTTTTTTAAGTGTAAGTCAAAGTAAATTAGGAAAATCTAATGGAGATTATTACATCGAGTATTTGGTCAAGTTCATTATTATTCCTCGTGAATCATACTGTATTTATGTTTTTTCAGTTTTTTATATTTAAAACTTATACAGTTAGTACAGTTGGTACAGTTGGTGGACAAAAAAAACTGAGATAATCAAAATTTGCTCAATGTGTATTAAACTTTTGAATTGTCACCCAAAATAAAACTTGACTGCAATTTAAAAATGACCGTTGTGGATTACATCAACAGTTAAAATAAGCAAGGGATAACATTTATTATTTTGTGCAAAATAACATTTATTAAAAGCGAAGAATAATGTTTAATGATGTTAATAGCCACGTCAAAAATGTTGTTACGTTTTTGTCGGTTTAGAATAAATGTTCTTAAACGCAGAAAAGTATGGAGAAAACGATTTTGTCCTTTAATACATGCTTGCAAAAAGCAATATTTTTTAAACACAAAAAACAAAGTCTTATTTGTTTTAACTTATCGGAAATCAGAAAAAATTGTTTGTTCCGACTAATACCACCAAGGACTAGATAGTCATAAAAGCCATTATCTTTTCTCTGCATATAAATCAACGAGAATACTGAAACCTCGAATATGAGTATTCGGTGTTATAAAAACCCCAACATTTCAACCCTACTAATTGCCTTATTCTTCTCTCCACTCTATTATCCTTGCTGCTATCCTGTTACCACCGTTCCATATTTGACTGCTTCGTATGCATTCCTAGTCTGGTTGCTGGACCAGATTTTGTCCCGAAATATAAACGAATCCATAAATCTTCCCCCGATTTTCTAATTTCTGCTGTTTTTACACAAAGACCCTCAAAATTTATCGTTCGCAACACTCACATTAAATCGAAATCCAGACAAGCTTATAAAAATGAGGGTAATAAAATGTTTGTTTTCGACTTTCAATGACGCTAAATAAGATCGTTTTAATGAGGGATGAAAAAAATCCAAATCGAGGATAAATAATATCGATTTGATCGTAACGTGGCCGTGGGTAGAATGACGTAGTTGAAATTTCGACCAATAAGAACGTCGGAGTTATCGTCACCTCCATTTCTGCGGCAACGGCAAATGATTTCCCCGAATGGACTGACGTCAGAGGACCTCAATGGGTTACCGGGGTAACGGCTGCAAGCATGCAAGTGCAACGGGACCAAAACTGGAGAATATTTCCCAAAATCTCGCCCACACTATTCGTAATTACCATTACGGCATGACTACCGTAATTCACCTCTAAAACATTAAGGGTGTTCCTCCGATTCGAGTCGATAGATTGGCCATCATTTAATGTCCTGATTAAAATTGTATGCGTCTCGACGACGTCGGCGGCATCGCGGCGCATGTCCATGACGTCAAAACCGCCTCCACAGTTAGTCGGGCTTGGAAATACGTTGAGGATGTATTACAATCGGGGTTGTTGTCTGTTAATTCCGCAAAACGCGTCGCGACCTGTGAAAATGTCTGTGATAGAGTGTTACACGTCGATCAGTTAAACAAAACATCACGCAACAAAACGGTAAGTAGGTGAAAAGGGCCCAAAATTCAACGATGGGTGCTTGATCTTCGACAATTTGACAGTTCGCGACCATGTTGTGGGCAGATTCGTGAATGAAATAGACATGATGTAGAATGTAGGTGAAAGAAGAGATAGAGATGGAGAAAATACGGATCAATACGGTATGCTGGATCTTGGATACCGTTGCTGGGTCGTAGACGATCCCCTAGCGTTTATTTTTGGCGTTTTTAATGGTTAATGGGCGAGTGGAACTACACCGCGATAACAGAAACGCTGATAACTTCATTCAAGATTATGCTGATTATTGCCTGAGAACATGGAACACCAATTGGCCCATTCATGAATCACACATTTTACCTTATTATGTATTTTAAGAGCGACGGTCATTCGTGGTTTTCGGTCTGAAACCGTTTAATGGTATTTTTAGACGGCGGTATCTGACGCGCGTATCATATCGATTTATTTCTATATAGGTCATAGTTTAGACAAGTTTACAGATCATTGACAAATCTGCATCGTTAATTTAGTCACGTCTAAGGCCCTTAACTATTTTTACATCAACGTTGTTAAACGAAAATCACCAAACGTACTGCAAAAATGGTGGATGCGCCGGGAGAATTGATTACCCAACTGTGATTTCGGCTTTATTTTATTTCTAGTTACTCCAACCTGCAATTATATCGATTTTTACTCATTGTAGTTTGAGTAAAATTTTAATAAATGGGCCTTTCTCCTAGCATGCACTCGCTTATTCTCTTTTAATCAATTCTATTAAAAATATATTTCAGCGTAAGTTTCTAATAAAGTTCATTCGTGACTGAAAACTTCTTCCGGGTCTGAATTTACGATGTAATCAAATCGAATGACAATAGTGAAAACCAGAATTGATAAAAATGAAATGCCATCCATCAGATTAAACCGATATTCAGGAAATACTAGTGTGTACACATGTCACATTATTTTTTCGTAATTCGTTAATG